TTTTTTCTTTTCCCTGTTCTAAAGCAGTATTTTCATGTTCACATCTTTTACGGTTGTGCCTCTGTTATAAAAGAGAAGCAATGAAATTACTTACCAGCTCAAGTAGCAAGGAGATCAATTTAAATTTGTTTGTAGATGTCGGAATTTTACAAGTGAGAAACTAATATTTTTTCTTCAGTTTTTAGGGCAAAAAATGGTAAACATACATTATATTGTACCACTACGGTTATCAAATTCCAACCTATATGAACTCCTCAATTCCTTGCTGGCGATCGCTTCTAATTTCGCAAATCCATGCCTGGTTTCGGACCTGAACGTTGGGCCCCTTGACTCCACGTATGCGAGTTCAGGATGTTCGTGTTTTACTAAAGCAGAAAGATAGTTTGTGAACTTATATGACATCGGTTTGTGAGAAAGCAATATCTTAAATTGTCAGGTGATTTTCATATAATGACACACCGTTTCTGATATCATAAACAATGTGTCCCACCTGTGCGTGTGAGTGACCCAGATAGCACCCTGTAAGGGGATACCCTGGTGTCTCTGTGGAATGAGGTCAGTACTTCCAGGTAAAGATCAAACCATCTAGTTTACAATGATAGGATATCGGTCATTATAGCAACAGGACACAAGAACAAAGTGCAAATGGTATTTCAGTGTTACACCATGTAGTGATGTGGTGTGTAGCTAGTAGTATTCATATTGCGTTTCAAAGTAATTGCATGACGACAGTGAAATTAGTATGAGCTTGAAATATTTCCTTTACTTGTGTACTGTATAACATGGAGCTAATATTTCAATCATATTATTTTAACTAAATCAAAGATATATGTACAGTACATGTAAAATATATCCTTCGTTATTGTACTGTAGACACACCCAATGACAAGGCCATTGTTGTAACTGATAGACTTGCCCATTAACAACCTTTAGACATACTGTACCTTATTTATTCGACCAAAAAAATAAACACCCCCCTCGAATAACACCCCCTCAAAAACCCTTCTCAACAACAAATGCCCTGGGTGTTTATTCAAATTGATATGGTACTCGCATTCACATAGACACATCTATAGACATAATTCTTGGATATGCCCTTTGACATACCCACTAAAATATTCCTTAGACATACTGTACCATAGAACGTAATGAGAACACATACTTCCGTTAAAAATCTGTGTAAAATCTTCAAAAAGAACTATAGTACCTCCTTGCAATGAAGAAAAGCCCAAAGATTACCATGATTGTGGGATTGCATTGTGCCGTGAGTGTGGAATGAACATAGGTATATTTACATAATGTGCATGCTAAAATTTAAGCATCTTTACTAGAGTCATGAATTATCAACACACATGACACTTATTAGTGAAAATGAAAGGCCTAATCATTAGGATTTTGTGGTTTGTAATTTTCTGACACTGCATAATGTGGGAAGGAGATGAGCATGAAAATGTAGTGGAGGAATATTGGTCAATAGTATCAAATGATTAGAAGTTCAATTTTAGTTTATTGGATCCACTTTTCGATACAGTGGCACTCATACGAAATGTATGGTGCAAAAAGATTAATAATGTTAATAGCCTAAAATCTGTCATCATCTTTATTAGTAATACTGCCCTCTATAGTATCATTATCTATAGAGGGTGTCCTTTACTTATGGTATTCTAGTAGGTGCTTTATATTATTTAGTTTACTGAACAGAAATAATAGCATCATACTTACTCAAGTCTATATGTTTGGGAAGGTGGAAGGGGGATGCAATATGAGACTGAAAATTTAGAATGTGCAGACTAAATAAGTATTAAGGGTGTTTTTAAACAATTTGTAAAATAATTAAAAGATGAATTAAAGCAAGCTACACTATATAATGAAAAATGTTACTTTAATATAATATGACAAATAAATTTGGTATCAGTATTATACTTATTGTATTTTATTATTTTAATTAATATATTTTATGAAAATTATTAGTTATCAATGGTTGTTTAAAAATAA